TAGTAGTAGTAGTAGTAGTAGTAGTAGTAGTAGTCGGTAGTAGGTAGTAGGTAGTAGGTAGTAGGTAGTAGGTAGTAGGTAGTAGGTAGTATGTAGGAGGTAGTAGGCAGTAGGTAGTAGTAGTAGTAGTAGTAGTAGTAGTAGTAGTAGTAGTAGTAGTAGTAGTAGTAGTAGTAGTAGTAGTAGTAGTAGTAGTAGTAGTAGTAGGAGTAGCAGTAGTAGTAGTAGTAGTAGTAGTAGTAGTACCGTGGATGGAGGAGGAGGAGGAGGAGGACGAGCAGTAGGAGGAGGAGGAGGAGGGGGAGGATGATGATGATGAGGAGGAGGAGGAGGAGGAAAAACAATAATAAAAACAATAGTAATAATAATACGCACACTAATATTCATAATAAGAATAAGAATAATAAGAACAATAATAATAATAACAATACGAATACTACTAATAAGAATACTAATACTAATACTAATAATACTAATAATAATACTAATAATATTATTAATACAACTAATAATAATAGTACTGATAATAATAATACTACTAATAATACTAATACTAAGAAGAAGAAACATAATAAAAAAAAAACAATAAGAAGAGGAGGAGGAGGAGGAGGAGGAGGAGGAGGAGGAGTGGGACGAGAGGGAGGAAGGAAAGGGAAGGGCCCAGACGCCCTCCCGTTATGAAAATGAACACGACAGAGGGTTTTGCAATTTTCGTGCCCTGGGGGCTTTCGCTAACACATGGCTCAGGACGAACTTGTCCTGGGGGATGGGTTCAGACCTCCGGGGTCCGCGTTGTGAAAGAAACACGACGTTGGGTGTCCCGGGGGGAGGGGGCAGTTGCCGGAGGGGGGCAGGGTCCGCTCCGATCCGGTCGGTCGGTCCCATTCGATGTCTGATGTCGGTGTCGGCCGGTTCTGTCCGAATCGATTCCGATATTCCGACGATCCGATGCGGCTCGATTCTTTCAAAGCGCTGTTGTGTACCTGGAACAGCGGATTCGATTCGACTCGACTTCGATTCCGTGCATATGCAACCCGATCCGACAGGGGGGGAGGGGAAGGGACACGGGAAAAAGAGAGAGAGAGAGAGAGAGAGACAAAAAAGAGAGAGAGAGGGGAACATCGAGTATTGCCTGTTTCTAGGTGGCTTCGGAGTTTCAATATTTTTGGAGGTTCTGGGGGTGGGCGGGAGGGTGTGGAGGAGGTTGGGCGAGGGGGGAAAGGGAGGATAAGAGAAAGGGCAGGGAGGACAGTGAGGAGAAACGAAGAGACGGATTAGAGGGGGAGGAGGCGCGCTGGTCACTGGGGGTTCAGAGTTAAGCGAACCGTGCAGCTTGTTCGGGGGAGTGGCGGCTATACCCCCCCCCAATTGCTTTCTGCGAGCACTGCGCGCACAACCGGCCACTCCCCCCAGCTCGGCGCCCTGTGCGGGAACTGCGCCATCTCGCCGCTCACGCGGCTTCTGCCCTGCAGGTGTGGGGGTGCGTCGAGGCTCCCTTCGCATCCTATCGGAGCTGCCGCGCGGGGGGGCGCCCGTCACTGCCCCCCCAGCCCCCACCCCCCTGGGCCTGCGCCGCGCCAGGGACGAGCGCACCCGGGAGGAGCGCATGGCCGCCTACGGCAGGAACGTCAGCATGTCCTTCAACAGCCTGCGCAGCAACTCCTCGATGCCGAGCAGTCCGCCCGCGCCGGCCACGGCGCGAGCGTGCCGCGCGCGAGACGGGCTCGAGGATGGGGTTTTGTCCGCGTGTCCAGCGCCCTGGATCGGGGAAGCGTAAGCCTCGAGTAAGCCCGAGCTCGGGTCTGCCAGCGTTTTTTGACGAGCGCGCCCTGGATTTGGGCGGCCCAGTTTCCGTGGGATGTCTGCAGCTGGAGCTCGCACCAAATTTCAGATGGGGCCTCGTCATTTTCATGATGGCTCCAGTCGTGCTCGTTGTTGGACGACGCCTTCGGCCACGACGCCACGCCTGGGTGCGTGCCATGCTTGTCGCCAGTGGGCGGGTCGTGCTTGCCTCGTCAGCACACCGCTCCAGGGTGGCGGCGTCCTGGGCGCTGCGCCTGCCCGTGACCGGGGGGATCCTCCTCCTCCTCCCCCTCCCCCTCCCCCTCCCCCTCCTCCTCCTCCTCCTCGTCGTCGTCGTCGTCCTCCTCCTCCTCCTCCTCCTCCTCCTCCTCCTGGCCAAGAACGCGAGAGCCGGCAAGGGCGGCGGCCCGTGGCAGCGGCTACGACGCGCGGAGTCTGCCGCCGTGCCCCCGGCACGCTGGGGCGTGTTGGGATGCCGTGCCCCGAGTCCCCCGTGCCCGAGTCTGCACGTCTCCCCGACCGGAAGCCGATCTGCCTGGCCCTCGGGAGGCGGTGGAGATCGCCCAAGTCCTGGCCTCGCCATGGGGTGTGGGGGCGCCCGGTCTTCCCTCCTCCTCCTCCTCCTCCTCCTCCTCCTCCTCCTCGTCTTCCCCAGCGTCCTCCTCCTCTAACTCTTTTTCCTCCTCCTCCTCCTCCTCCTCCTCTTCCTTCTCTTCTTCCTTCTCTTCATCCTCCTCCTCCTCGTCCTCGTCCTCTTCCTCCTCCTCCTCCTCCTCCTCCTCCTCCTCCTCCTCCTCCTCCTCCTCCTCCCCCTCCTTCTCCTCCTCCTGGCTGCTGAAGAGGGAGAGGACAGAGGCGGGCCAGCAGCAGGGGCAGGGGGAGAGGAGCAGCACAGTGTCCACACGACAGAGGCGCCCGCGGCGCGGCGCGCGCCCGGGCGCCAGAGGGGCGCGCCCTGTCGGCGGCCTGCGGCCTCTGGGCCACCGGGGGGGCGGGAGAGGCGGAGGGGGGGCGGAGGAAGGAGGGGGCGAGGAGGGGGAAGGGGAGGATGCGGCCCGTCCGGCCTCGGCGCCGGGCCCGCCGACCCTGCCGGGCAAGCGGGGGCCGGTGCCGCTTCTGAAGTATACACGCCCCGTTTAATTAATCACCGCGCCCCCCCGGGCAGGCAGACGGGGGCGAGAGACGACCAGACGGAGGACGGGGACGGCCGAGAGGAGCGAGAGAGGCCACGGAGCCAGGAGAAACAGGAGAGCACGAGGAGGGAGGGACGAGGAACACAGGACAAGGAGGAGGGAGAGCAGGCAAGCAGCGCAGAGAGCAGATGGAGGGGGGGCGCGGGGGTGAATTTAATTGATACGGTCAGGTATCTATGTATAGCGTGTATTGGGAAAAATGTCTATACACGCTAAGTGTCTTACACTTAGCGTGGAACCTAGTTCGCCTCACTTAGCGTGTTTTGGGAAGGCTGTGGACGTCCGTGGGAAGGAAGGCTGTGGTGAGGAAGAGGTGGAATTGAAATTTGGCACATTCCTCATCGACCACTCCGTCCGAAGGCCACTATCTAGTGGCCTTCGGCCCATCCGCCACCGTGCCTGAGTGATGGGTCAGAGAAGGCTCACGGGTGTTGGTTGAAATCTCGTGGTTCGCCTCCTGGGGCCTCTAGGGGGCCGTCTTGGGGCCACCTCCACCTCCTCCTCCTCTTCCTCCTCCGCTTCCTGCGCCTCCTTTTTTCTTTGCCTTCGCGGGCGCCTGCAGGGCGGGCCACCGTGAAAGGCTGACAACCGTCGGAGGTGCGAGACTGGCGACCCGCCCCCCTCCCTCCCCCTCTCCTGCGTGCCCCTCCCCTTCCATTCCTCGCCCAGTTACGACGACTCCCACGGCGAATCGCCGCCGGCTCTTTTTCTTTGGAAACGCCTCTGTGGCCGAAATTTTGGCCATAGCCTGCCAAGACCATTGGATTTCGTGTTATCCCGGCTGTAACGGAAACTTTCCGGGTAACACGTGGAGGAGTCGTAGGAGGAGGAGGAAGAAGGGGAGGAGGAGGAGGACGACGACGACGAGGCCTCTTGATAGCCTTTTTGGAAACCCTTTGCGCACTTTGGGAGCTTCCTGGGTCCTGGGAGCCTGTTGGATGCCTTTCGGGGACCTCCTTGGGCCTCCTGGTGGCGCGCGGGGGCTTGTTGGGCGTCCCGGGCCCGTCTGACGCCGTCGGAAGCCGTCTTGGGGGCCTCTTTGAACTGAATCTCAGGAGCGAGCTTGGGGGCCCGAGGACGCGCCCACTTTGTCTTGCAGGACGCGGTGGCGGAGTCCAGGTACACGCTAAGCAGTCTGCGGGAATCGATCCTTCAAAAACCGATGGAATCAAATGCCAACACATCCTTAACTACTTTTGAAAGGTTTCTTGGAGACCACTTGGACCGTCTTGGATGCCTGACAGGGGCCTCTTGGGCCGTCTTCGAGGCAATCTTGGACCATCTCCTTGGGCTATCTTGGCTATCTTGGACGACATTCTGTAGGCCGTCCTCGACCATCTTGGCCATCTTGGAGGCAAGGTTGGGCGAGCCTGGCAACTTTACATAAAAAAACATCGGAACCGCTTGTTTTTCAAAATAGGGTTCTTGAAGATTCTTGGCATCCCATTCTCTGGATGGCCAGCGGGAGGCGCGCGAGCCCCAGGGGGAGTCCTTTTGAACAGAACCAACACCACAACCAGAAGGGTTCATCACCCCAGGCGCCACCGCGACGAATCGAAAGGGCGTCGCAGAACGAAGACGCCTACGGCGAATCTCCGCCGCTCCCTGCCTTCTTAGAAGCGCCTACGTGGCCGAGTGTTTGGCTAGAGCTTCTTGGCCAAACTATCGGACCACGTGTTCCCAGAGTTGTTGTCGGAAAACTTTCGGGGAACACAGCGGAGCGTGAACGCGAAGAGAAAGCGGAAACGGAAGGACACGTTGCCACTGGGGGGCGTCTGTGAAGCGGCTTCAGCTCTGTTGGGCGAAGGTTCCCAGAGGCAGTTTTGTTTGGATGTCTCCGGCGAAACGCGCATGTGCAATCAAGAGTTGTTGAAAAACACTGGGTTTCTCAAGATGTTGGCTTTTAGGGTTGTCTTGGACGTCGTTCGAGATCGGTAAGATATGATTATCGAGCCCATGTGAAGCCCAACCACAGCATGCCATTCAGGGCCAGCCCGCTCACTTCTCACATCGGCCGGAACCCGGGCACCCCTCCATTCGGAGCACATCTACGCATCGCCCAAACCCCGCCATCCCCGCGCCCGCCCGCCACACTTAGCGCGTGCAGGGGGGCGCCCTGCGGCCCCATTACCAGGGGGGCCAGAGGGGCCCCTGGCCTCCCCCCGCGCCTTCCCCCCCGCCGCCACCACCCTACCCTGCTCCACCCCGCGCGACCACCGACCCGCCTTTGTCCAGCGCGCGCGGTCGCAGAGCTTGCGCGTCTCCACTTTCTACGCGTGGCGCAATTTGGTGCGAGTTCGGCCGCTCCCGGGCGAACTTCGCGTTGAACGATGCCACAATTGGGCGCGCGTTTCCTGCGCCCGCGGTGCACGCGCGCGCATCGCGTTCAAACGCGCGCGCGCGCGTTCAAACGCGCCCGCCATGAACGCGACGTCAACAAACGAAACAAACAAGCGGCGCGTTTTTTCTTAAATTGGCCGGGCGCGTAGAAGTTCACAGTTCGCGGTCATCGAAGGATGATCCGCCATAGGAGTCCTTTGTGGAGCTCCGCGAGTGGAGTCCCATGAGCAGCCACCCAGGCGCCATCCCTGTACACGCTAAGCGCGGTGGAAGTGGCGTTCGTTGTTCCGTGGAATAGGATGGGGAGCTGGATTCGTGAGTTGCGCCCCCTGCAGCGCGGCGCTCGTCGCTGATCAAGTTGGGCTTGCACGCGAGAGAGAGAGAGAGAGTGAGGGAGACAGAGAGAGAGAGAGAGAGAGAGAGAATAATGATAGAGAGAGAGAAAGAGCGAGAGAAAGGGAGAAGCGGCGCAGCCGCTTCTCTTTTGGCCACGGCCGGGGCTCATGACAGTTCCGCGCGTCGCGGCCGCCGAGGATCCACCACTGGAGCCCCGCGTGGGACTCCGCTTGTGGGGCCCCAGGGGCCGCTGCCCAGGCGCCATCCTTGTGCGCGCGAAGCGCGGTGGAAGTGGCGTTCGTGGCGGATATGTTTTTGGTGTGCGTGCGTGCGTGCGCGCGTGTGCGTGCGTGCGTGCGTGCGTGCGTGCGTGCGTGCGCGCGTGCGCGCGCGTGCGTGCGTGGCGTGGTGGGTGTTGGCGGTGGTGGCGGTGGTGGTGGTGGGTGGGCGGGCGGGCGGGGCGGCGCGGCGGTGGCGGGGCGGGGCGGGCGGTGGCGGCGCCGGCGGCCTCCCCGCCACAATCAAAAGAAATGCATCCGCCTTAACCCCCACCATGAAAATAGAGAAAGAGAGAGAGAGAGAGAGAGAGAGAGAGAGAGAGAGAGAGAGAGAGAGAGAGAGAGAGAGAGAGAGAGAGAGAGAGAGAGAGAGAGAGAGAGAGAGAGAGAGAGGGTGAGAGAGAGAGAGAGAGAGAGAGAGAGAGAGATGAGAGAAGACGCGCAGCCGCCTCCCACAATGAAGACCACGCACAAAAAAAGAGAGAAGTGGCGCAGCGTTTTTTTTTGGTTAGAAAATATCAAACAATGGCCCGGGCGCGATTCCACTCGTCGCGGCCATCGCACGAGAATCAGCGATTCGCGCCTCCTTTGGGAGCTCTGGTAGTGGAGTCCCAGGAGCAGCCGCCCAGGCGCCAAGTTGCGTTTGCCATGGATTGGGGGCTTGCTTGGGCGGGGGGGGGGGGGGAGGAATGGAGGGCTGAATGGGCAATTTTTTTCAGCTGCGTCCCCTGCAGCATGGCACTCGT